ATTCGTATTAAATATTTATAGGTAGCTACCGTTAGGGCAAGATTCTATTTAAAAAATTAACTAAATAAAGTAATTTTGAGATGTATACTACAAAATATTGATCATTCCTCTTATAAGGTATGTCGTCAATGTATCCGTATTAAATATTCATAGGTAGCTACCGTTGGGGCAGGATTCTATCTAAAAAATATTACTAAATAAAGTAATTTTNTACACATTTTATAATTTATATTTATTGCATGAAAATTTAAATTATTTATTTGAGATTTAAACTAAAATGATGTGTATGTTGTTTTGTGTTTCAGGTGAGTCTTACCCTATCCCGACTGCATCTACTGGGGCAAGTCTGACCATATCTCAGATCGGTATAATTTTATAATCTCCTTGCAAACATCATACAAATGTTTTTATCAATTAACTTTTACGAAAGATAAAAACCCATACTCTGTTAAACATAAAAAATTATCCCCACTTTTGCTCAATCGTAAGAAACGGACTCGGGGGTAGTGCAAAGAAAGTTCCGCGTCTCGAGCAATTCGAGACCCCCAAATGAAGATATGTCGTGGATCCTTTTGAGCTCGAGAAACTTTGTTATTTATTTTTGGGGGCAAGTACTGCAGGCAATGTTGAATTATGCAAGAGCAATATGCCGAGTTCTTGTACACTGGCGGCGGGTAAGGGAAATCAGAGGGGCGCGCGGATTAAAAAAGCCACGCGGACGAGGTGCGATCGTGGAATTACGGAAGACGAGAGAAATGTATGGCCTTTTTTTTTCTCTACTGTGGAAGGTGCAGCTACGATGATATCGAACCGGCCGTGTTTTTTCAACCCTTCTCTTTCACGATTTATCGCAACATAATTACGCTGTACACGGCGAGTCACAGATTTTCGAGAGAAGAGAACGGCATCACCAGCATCACCGTCCAATTGCAGGCTTGTTTACCTTCCGTGTCAGCGCGACGCGCGCGTCACTCACTCACCCTCCCTCTCCCGGCACCCGCGCTCGACGCGCTCATCAATTATTTCAATCGCGGAATAATGAACGATGATGCACCAACACGAGAGGGAACGGCAAAAGTACATCAGGCTTTGGTGCACGTGCCCTCGCGAGACACAATGATCGGCGCGCCATTAGAAAGCGGAAAAGGGTGGGACGATTTTCTCCCCCCCCCCTCGAAAAAACAAAAACATTGCACGCCAAGCCGGGGATTGTCACTCTTCTGTCAGTTGTATGTGTACCTCCGTGACAGTGTGTTTTTCCATACGCGATTGTGTTTGGGCCGTGTACGCATTACCTGCACGCTCGTCGAGGTTCATCTTGTTTGAAAAAAAAAAAAAAAAAAAAAAAACAATCGCACGCTTTCTCGTTAATGCATTAAACTCCTCATCGATCATCCGCGCAGTTATTGGTAAACGGACGAGCAAGCGTCTCCGGCCTCGTATATCAATCACCGCTACATAGGGGAAGGAGAAAAAAAAAAAAATAAAAATGTGAGTAAAATCGCGGAAAATCTCTTTCCAAACTCCCTAGCCACTTGCACTTTCTAAGCTGCAACTTTGGCTTGCGGAAATTGAGATGGATATGTGAGACCTATATGTATACAAAAGTGTACATACGTATACGACCCCGAGACCCGGTGCACGCGATACGGGGGCAAATCTCTCTCATACACCCCCGGGAGTAGGTCCTGACTCCATGTACCTCGTACCAGCTCTCTCCGGTAAAGTTTATACACAAACGTACACTCACAAGGGGGGGGGGAGCGCGTGGCTTGTATACAGGTTTCTGATTTCCAGAGAGCCGGTCAATCAGAAAATGTTTGGCCGAGTTTCCCTCGCAGGCTGTGCCGGGAAGACGACGACGATGTGCGTGCAGGCTCCATCGGCCGGAATGGATTTCGCTCGGCGCTCGTTTCGTAATTCACGAGGCGATGCCTTGTTTGTGGACTCTGGCTAGTGGGGGGCCACACGTGAGCGGTTTACCGGACGGAAAAGTCGGCGTGTTGGACCTGCTTGCTCTTTGACGACTACGTACCTGCACGCTTTTGGACATCGAGCCTTTGGATATACGTGGCTGTTTTTTTTTTCTCTGGAAGCTTTCGAGTTTTTTGGAAGTAGAAAGTGCACACACATGAAAAAAGCTGTGAACAATTCCCACGTTGTATTTTGCCCACAGAAAGCTTCCTCGCGCATTTTAGAAGCAAACGGATAGTACGGAGAGGAGAGAGACGCCATCAGGTGCGCGCTTGCCCCTCCGACCGGGCGCATCGAAACGGAAAGCTTCTCCTTCCTCGTAGCACCACCAATGCCCTGCATATTTCAACCGCCTCGTTTTCTCTCTCTTCTATACCTCTGTCAAATGAGGCTAGAGAGCCGACCCACATGTCTGTCCCAGCGGTGGAATACACGCGGGTTATTTCAGGGCGCATCGAAGGAAAACGCTTTATTGTCGGGCGCGAGCATTTGTCTAATTGGACTTTGTCGAGCCAACAAGTCGATGTTTTATCACTCCCTCTCTCTCTCTCTCTCTCTCTTTCTTAACGAGAAGTGCGCACCTTACACTTGCGATGAACTTACCAGATATGTCACTGTAAAGCTGTTCGTTACAAACTGTCAAGTGGAGTCGACTATGCACAGTTCGTATACAACTCTAGGTGTATCTAACTATCCGTTCATATTCGAGTGGGTACCTGTACCATCTATGCCGATATACCAACTGGGCCAAGCATTTCCTTACCTCTTCGCTTGGCGTATATTCAAAAGAGTGCCTGTTATCAACATTTTTCGTTTCACTTGCACGCCCAGCCGATCCCCTAAAAAGAGCACGCGCAGCAACTCCTATTGTAGCTTTATCCCCTGTTTTCCCTGTCTCCCGTATACTCCTTGCAAAACGCTCTCCCCACGTGCGCCACACTTTCGCCTCCACCCCCCCCCACCAACCCCCCAATGTCGACGATGCGCAACGTGCACGCGCTCACCCACCCCGTGTGTCTTCCCCTCTCTCTCTCTCTCTCTTATTAAAGGTGGCGATTTATCGCCAGTAATAACAGACGCGGTCTGGCCCTGGTGTACCCATATCCATACTACACTCTCTCCGTTTCCGCGTTCGTGGGGCTGCTGCGTCGCGTTTTCTCTCCTGGCCTCCTCCTCCTCCTCCTCCTTTTGCATTCCCGGCGCAAGTGCAGTCCCTTCCTCTTCGTACGGCGGATTTTGAGTAAGTCCGATGGTGTAATATTGAATTCCGCGTGCTCGTGCACTTTTTTTCCATTTTTTTTGTCGATGTCACATCTCTCCTCTTTTCGCGTCATTTTACCTTTTTTGATTGCGGTACCTCTTACTTGTACCTTGCGTAAAGTCCAAGCATTATCAACTTGGACGATTCTCTGTATTTGATTGCCGTTGCAGTAAAATGAAGAAGGAATTCCCAAAGCAAAGTACTAACGTAAGTTTTAAAAGAAAAAAAGAAGGATCCTAAATAACGCACGTGTAACTCGGAGGGGCAAAAACACTAGAATCGTGCAATGTCAGCAATGAGAAAGTGGCTCCTCCCCGTCGAATTTTCAATGGTACAGGTATATGGACCCGTAACGACGCAGCTCTCGGTGCTCGCTAAAACACTCGGAGTGGCCCTAAGGAGAGACGGGCTCGATTAATCTTTCTCTCCCGGTCAAAAAGTGGCCGAGGATGGTCACCGCCCGAGCTCGCAAGACGGTGGTATCGGCATGAACCGAGACATTTTTAGAAAACTCAGACACGCGAAATCGCGCGTGAAACAATTACACGCTCGTACGAGCAATTGTGTGCGTCTTTCTCTCAACTCCAAAAGTCTCGGGGATTCTATTTGCGGTTACCCGCTTCGAGAGGCGATAACAGTACGACGCGGCTCGGACAGATGGCAACCAAAAATAGATGATGTTCCGAGCGAGGGGTCGGGGAACGTCGCTCGCGCTCCCTAATTGAGGATGAGCGTGAAATTCCGCGTGGTTTCGGGAAGGACGGAGGAGGGACGCAGGTGGCTGCTAATTGGCCGGTCAGAGGGTGTACGTACCGGTGGTGGCACTATGTTGGTGGTCCCCTCCCCTCTGGCTTCGCTCTTTGTCCTCTTTGGAGTTCCGCGAGATAGTTTTGGCGACGGAGGAAAGTGCTATTGGCACCGGGGCGACGCGCGTCTCTGGAAATCGATGGACGGAGGTAAGTGACTTGCGGATGCGTTTTACAGGTTTGGAATAGTTCGGCGGACGAAATTGTGATTGTCCCTCCGTTCGGCTACACCGACATTGTCGCGATTCTTTTGCAAGGAGTGCGGGCATACCACGATATTGTTAAGGATTCCCGTGGCAAAAAAAGACATCAATGCCCATTGTGTATTAGTATACATGCATTCAAAGATGATACACGCAGAGTCGTCGGTCCATCATCCATCCGCGGCTCCGTAACACGCATTATTCACAAATGCCTCACCCTCGAGTTATTCGTCTCATGAATTAGTAAAGGCTCCTTGTGCGTACACACTTACGTACGTATACTCATAACACAACACACCGATACGGACTCCGAGAATAATTTCTCCCGGCACGCCCTTAGGCAGTTCTGCGCATCCCTCTCTCTCTCTGTGCGATGCTGCAAGAAGGGCGCCTTGTAATTATTACGATGACGCTGCGCCTCGCCTCTACTTGGTTTTTCAAGCTGTTTTTAATACCCTCTCTCTCCCTGTGCTTCTACTCTGCTTTTTCTTTTTTGCATTGTTTGCTGCTCCCGTGTTGGTCTCGGAATAACAGGCGACTCTTACCGCTGCTGTTAACAACAAAATCAAGCTGCTCCACGTAGTTCAACAGAATAGGGGTTGTTTTTTTTTTTTTTTTTTTATTGATTTTCAAAAAATCGAATAAATTGAAAAAAAAAGAACAAATTTTATTTTGCATTTTCAAGCTACCAATTTATTTGTTTCGGTCATTGAAACGATGAAATCTAAAGACAAACACAGGTGTACTATTTACAATTGCTTCGTATTTTGTATTATAATTATTTTTTTTTTTTTTCAATTATATTATTGCTCAGACATGTCGCACGGCTGCAGAAGACTGTGCAGCGTCGCTCTCGTAAAAATTTACGCGTCTCCAATACATCCACAAGTGTAAGCACTCACGTATGAAAAAACGAACGAGATCTGTGTATGGAAAAAAAAAAAAAAAAAAATAAGGAATGTTTTGATTCACGCGGTCGTCGGTGGCACGCCACCCGGGTAATTCCAGTCCTGTATCTTGGCCGAGCCGAAAATCGTGAAGATGGAAAAGGCCAGCAGTTGCGCGACGATGTTTATCCAAAAGGCGATGCGCCAATTAGCGAACGTGTGCTGCGAAGAACAGCGAATTTTGATGAAAAATTCAATCACCTGGAAAAAACAACGCAGCAAATAAATCGAAACTCACCCCTCCTTCCGTCAACACGCCGACCAAGGCGGGCAGAACGAAGGCCGGTATGGTCCCGGGCGTGTTGGTGATGCCCATGAGGATGCCGGCATAGTTGGGCGCGAGGTCGTTCTGATTGCACAGGTGGCCCACGAAAATGGCCCCGGACGTGACGATGCACAGACAGAGCATGAACACCGTGGCGTTGCGCTCGCACCCGATGTACGCAATTATCAGCAGCAGCGCGCTCGCCGGCAGGCAGCCTGTCAACCACACAAAGCGCACCCGTTTGACACACCCAAGCACTTAAGGGGGAGGAGGAGGAGGGTCGTTTGTATATATTTACTTATGCCCACGGCGACTTTTCGGGCCACGGTCTGCGACCACCACCCCTTCTGTCGGCCGAGGTCCAAAAACTTTCCAAGCAAGGAGTTGGCGATGGCGCCCAATAAGTACGGCATACAGGTTATCGTGGCGTTCTGCAAAAACGCCCAAAGTTATACCCACCCAGCCTGTATATAGCAAAAGCATCAAATGAAGCATCGACGTACCGATTTGATGTTGAACCTGAGCATCTTGTTCATGTAGAGGGGCATCTGAGTGAGCAAAAAGTACCAGGTAAAGTTGCCCAGGAAATTGGTAAATATGAGGGCCAAAAAGGGCACCGACGTGAAGATGGCCTTCCACGGCACGTCGATCTTCTTGGACCCGAGGCCACGATGCCCGTACGAGTTGATCAACAGCTGTCTCTCCTCCTCCGTGATGTACTTCTGCGTCTCGGGATTATCGGCAAAGAACATGGCGAACACGACGCACCAGATGAACGGCAGAGTGCCGTGTATGTAGAATATCATCTGCCAGCCCATGTAGCTCATGATCCAGCCAGAGGTCAGGATCGAGATGACCGTGCCGATCGACGTACCGGCGTATATGATGGCCACCCACATGCTCTTCTCCTCGTACACGACCCACTTGCCCACAAGGACGTTGACGATCGGCAGGTTCGCCGCGCTCACCAGGCCCGTGGCGAAGCGCAGGACGTACAGCGCGTAGAGCGAGTCCGCGCAGACCGGCACCAGGAGCGTGAACAGGGCGTTGAAGAACACGCAGATCAACAGCACCCACTTTGTGTTGAAGCTTTAAAAATGGGAAATCGGTGCCCGTGATTAATCGCCTATATGGACCAGTTTTTGGAAAATTCGTCTCGACCGGGATAAACTGCCCGCGCTACTCGCTTTCTCCGTGTTTTTTCACCCAATGGAGCAGCTGGTAATAATTTATCGCCCAGTTGTCCACGATGGTATTTGCATAGCTTCGTGCCAAATAAAAAAAAAAAAAAAAAAAAAAAGAAACGGCAATAAAAAAGAATAAAATGTAACTTTCAAGCGTCAGTAATTACATCGGGTTAACGGCCGTAACGCAACACACGCCAAATCAGGGTCACTCGAGGTTATATTTATGGCCAAGCAAGCCGTGTACGCGCTTAGAAACGGCTGTGTGTGTGTGTAGCGTCACGCGCGAGCGCTCCGGTATCGGATGTATTTCGCGAGCTGCACGGGTGCACCTGTTAAAAGTCGGCGCGGCGCATTTTTTTTATGTTTCTCAGCACAATGAGCGGGTGCGTGTTGTGTTGTGTACCCACCGATCGGCAAAGTATCCGGAGGGAAACATGCCGACGAGGTAGCCGACGAAGTAGTAGCTGACGAGGAGGCCCTGCTCGATGGGGCTCCAGTCGTAGGGCCCGTCTATGTCCGGGGCTCCGTCGCTGTTGACGTACGCCGGGCACTCGTTGACCTCCACCGTGGCGTTGCCCTTCTTTGACTTTACCATACCGATTATGGCTGTTGACATGTTGGTTTTCAAACCGTAGATTATCATGTTGGCGATGCACAGCATCAAAGCGAAGACGAAGCGCACGTACTTTACTGTAAACCCATGTCATGGTCATTGCCTTTTTTTTTGTTTAATGGTTCATTGTCATCGGGAAAAGAGGCTAATATTTTTAGTCAAACTCAATCGTTAATAGCTTTAGTTTAAAAATAATTTCACGCACCAGTTTTACGTTTATCTATTAGTGATAAATATTATCGATTCATTACGAGTTATCAGATCCAGGTATCTATAAATTTTATAAATAAATTGTAATCCTGCGTTGTAATTTTTTTTTTCGTCCCTTAAATGTAATTTAATAACAGAGGTTTTCCAGCAGAAAAAAAAAAAAAAAACATCAAAAATGTATAAGAAAAATAGTGTCCAAGTCATTTTTGAGCATTTGAATATTTATTTGGATATACTTGGTTGATAATTTTCAACCCTCCTCACCGATTACCGCCAAAATGCGCGCAACAGCAAGCCCTTCGACCCCATTCTCGGAACTCGTCAACCCCCACAGGTCGAGCAACTTTCCATAGCCATACCGATTGCACCCGAATCGTCAAAACGAAATCGAAAAACCCATTCCCCGAGACTCCCCAAATTATCGTCGATTAGCTCGCTCCACCGAGGCAGGAGCAAAACAAAAAAAATCAATAACCAATCAGCTATCAAATTTGGTCCGGCGAATCGGCACTTGTATATGTATATAGAAGCGTGTTGTCGTTACAATACTCACTCATTTTGGCTGATATGAAAGGAAAAAAGACGCAAAGAAAATAAACGCCGATGACGAGCTCTCGGGCGCGTGTGTGCACCGGTGTGTATCAACCACTGCTGCGGACGAGGTAAAATCTTATTCGATCATCCGGTAATAAGGACAGTAACGCTGCCCCGCGTCAGCCGTCGTCGTCGTCTTCTACGTTGATTTTGTCCTATAGGCATCGAATGGGAGGTTAGCGTGCCAGCTGCTTCTTCTGTTGCTGTTGGTGATTAAAAAATAAAAATAAAAGAGGAGTGCTCTTTACTGTTTGTCTTTTTTTTTTTTCCTTCGTTGCTGTTGTTTCGGTCAAGTGAGGCTCTTTTGAATGTATTTTTACACTTTCTGCAACATAAAAATTAAAAACGTTGTTGTTGGTCATTCATTTCGTACATCGTAAAATAATAATTTTTTTTTCCGAGTGTATTTTCTACACCGTATTATGGTCATGAATTTTAACAACAGATATATATATACATGTAGTTGTTGGAAGTAGGTGAGCGCGTCGCGTTATCTATTACACAACTTGAGAGGCGCTCAAGTTAATTTTCTTACGTTTTGTGAAAGGTGAGTGTCATTTATTTCAAAAGACCGCTAATTTGCTGGTTTTTATCCTTGACCGAGGCCACCAACGTTTATTGGTACATTTGGCCTTTGTTATTCATAAATTGTATCCGTTTTATGAATTCGCGTAAAAATGTTTCAACTCTTTGTTTGAAAAATCACTGAACGCGAATTGACGTTATCTCGTTTCGCTTGTAAAATATGAAAAGCTCGTTAAGTTGCTGTACGTACAAATTTTATCGTCAGTCTTATTACCTGGCAAAAATTATATGACGCGAAAGCATCGAAGCCATTAAATTTATCATCTGCAATCGAAATAATCTTTGTACCGTGATTCCTTCACGCGTCGCGTTAAATCAACTAAAATTTTATTATTTAATAACCATCCTGATTGATTAAACAGTCTTGCTTGGCGGCAAAACTCCTGGCGTCTTTGTGTGCAAAACCGAGCCGCGAGATCGCTCCGAAATCCAAAATTTACCTTCCATCCAGTACCCGCTAAGAGTCGAGATCCATTTACCAAAGTGCCTGAAAACCAAGTATCACATTGCCGAACAAATTTGCCAACCACTTGACCCGTCAAATCCAAAAATCACTTTACTTGCCGGGCAAAAAAAAAAGACAATATCCCTAGCGCTAACCGAAAACAAATTCCTCGCCCCCACCCCTCCCCCGACAAAAGCCGATGACTTTTTGAAATGTTTGCCTGCCCGTCGCCCTCCGCTAAATTATTCCGTCAGCGACGTACGAACACACGGACGTACCTTCTCCTCCTCCGGCGCGTATTAAAATTCAAGTTATTCGACGACGCCCGTCCTACTCCTCTTTTTTTTTTTTTGTTTTTTTGTTTTTTTTTTTGTTTGCTCGAGAACTTTGGAGATAAGGACGTATACGTTCCGTTCGACTGGCGGAGATGCTTTTATTCCTCGATTTCTGCGGCGAACTTTGGATTATCGCTGCAAGCCGCTCACTTATCAAAAAGCCTACAACGAAATCAAGCGGTGCAACGTTCCTCATCGTGCACTCGGTGTTTTCCCCCTCGAGTTTATCGAAAAACACTGTACTCGCTCTTTTGGTACGCATGTTAACGCTACGAGAGGTAGATTAATGGTCACTACGAGGGGAATAATCGGCGATGGAGTTGCGTTTCGTAAAACCGGAGGCTCGAGCGACTACGTCACTGTTTTTTATGGCGGGAACTGATAATTAAGTTGATCTCTTTCTCTCGTCTCTTTGGTTTTGTTAGCGTAACAACTGTGCAAAAACGATGAAAACTGTCGGTCTATCGCGGCAAGTGCCTTTTCTACCGGAGACCGTTGCGTGTAGGCAGGACGGAGAGTGACTGACTTTTCGCTCGCTGTGATGATTTCACGTTGTTATCTGTTAGATAATTTTTGGGGTGACGTATCGTCGCGAGGATCATGTCTCTTTTCAATGACACGGTTGTTCGATAAGATTGGCGCAATGGATTCATCGAAATATTTTAATGACTGTTGTCGCATTGGTTTAGTAATGATTGGTCATTAACTCGTGTTCTTTTTTTTTTTTCATTTATTTTTTTTTTTTCGCTAAATTATGCAAAGGAACGCGTGCCAATTACATTATGTGCAACTGAGAGTGCAGTTTTAAAAATAAGTCGATGCGCAGATGATGAATTTATATTGTATGCTGCCGAGCTTCGGTGGACGGGAATTAAGAAATTTTAACATATTTTTAATTAGTTAATTACGTTTTACGTGCCTACGTGTGAATGAGCATCAGGTGAGGGAAAATTTGCTGTGAAAACGTAATGTGTTTTCGCAGAGTAAGCGAAATTACGTATGGGCACGTTAATTAAATTGAGAAAAGCACGAATAAAATTATCTCGCGTTTTCAACCATGTAATAAAGTGCGTGGAGTAGAGGTAATATGAAAAATAGGAAATCCTTTTTTTTTTCGGCAGGTTTTAATAAACTTTTAACGGGATATGATAAGTATGTGGGTCGTTCCGCGCACTTTTAATTAATTAAACCGAGCAGTGAGAACGTACACGTGCATTGGTACCTTTTTACACCCGCAGCTAATGACTCGGTAATTATTTTCGTTCCGAAAAATCGTAGCATCGTATATATATATATATACATAGGTATACCGATGAAACTGCAGATTCAATTGGTTACCGGTTATGTAATATTACTATCTAATTGATAATCGTCGCAAAAGATAACGCGGTAATGACCATTTTTTTGTTAAGTATGCATGTTATGAACTGATCAATAATAAATATTAAACAACAAGGTCGATCTTTGGAATGGATATAGCTACGTTGAATCGAATCACCTGTAATGAAAAAAGGTCATGCACGAATTTTCATTTGGAAAAACCTGTTTAATATTCAAAGATAATACTACTTGTACACTTATTGATGAAAATAACGAACGTTGCACCCATGGAACAATAACCCAAAGAGATTCGGTGGGATCATATACACAAGACCCTACCCCCTTATTCCCAACACATATGATACATGGAAAAAAAAAAACAAAAAAAAAACCAAAGGAGACTATACACATGGCATACCGTAAAAATGTATCGCGGCTCACCTCTGCCTCAACGTCGTCGTATATTATATTCCGCGGTCACCGCAGCGCAGTTCTATACGCTGCTCTGGAGGAAGAGAGAGAGAGAGAGAGAACGTTTAATGCAAAGGAGCCTTCCGAGAAACGCGAGCCCTCCACCTTTGCCTGCTCGTGTTCTCTTCCCTGCTTTTATCCGACTTGGCTTTCCTTCTCGTACGGTTACACCGCGAGTTGGTAACACAAGCAGAATGAATGGGTGTTCATACATATGTACATACCTACGCTAGTGCTATTGGATTGTTAATTGTTCGGGAAAAGCTTGTGGGCCCCGCATGTAATGTGTACAATTGCAAATAACTCCCGTGTGACGTGCCCGCGCAAAAATATCGTCCTTTTATTTCTCGTGTATAGGTACAAAGATGATGGGATTACTTTCATTCGTATCGCACTCCACCTTTTTCTAATCCGCCCTATCTGCCCGCGATATCAGCCGATACATTGTGTACCATCACGGGGAGGGCCGGAATCTCCTCTATATGTATTTTTTTTCATTCTCGACATTAATATCCATCACCAGCTCGCACTACGTATACGCGTATAGCATGTATCGAGGGTTGTACCAATGGGCGCATCGTTACGCTGCACTTTCGGCTCGTAACCAATTTTGATGGTACGGTACCCCACGCCCGTTTGGTGTACACGTAGGTACGCACGTATCCGGTTTTTCATAAAAAAATTACGTGTATACTCGTATAGGCGATAAGACAAAAGCCGTGACTCGAATTATTCATGTATATGTGTATATACGTTCGTTGCGTGTATAGTGGCTCGCCACGTGCTCGTACACCTATACATGCTATTATACGGTGCTGATCGGTCGGTTTACCCACGATGGTTTTGGGAGGGAAGGGAGTGATTATTCCGGATGGATTGAATTTCTAATCTGACTTTCCGGTGGGTTTTGAAACTTTTGTTTTTCACCATGAGATTTTCTATACGATTGATTATTCATGTACAGGTAAGCACTTTTGGATCTGTAGCTGTCATTCGTTGTGTTTGCCCATTTGGTTTCTTTTTTTTTTTTTTTTTTTTTTTTTTCTTTTTTACGTAAGTATTTGTGAATTTTCATTCCAATCGTAAAAGAATAATAAAATGCCTGGATTCAGTACCTACGCTCTTTTCGTCATTATTTTTTATTTACGCCAAGTAATAAAGAGTACTACGTGAATGCATTCATCACAACAGTAAGTACCAAAAACATATTGTAAATGTCACCAGGGGTGTAATAGATGAAAAAAAAAAAAAAAGTTGCGCAACTTACGCGAGGACGAGGAAACCGGAAGCTGCAACCGCTCAATTCAGGGCAATTAAAACGTGTCGCGTGTGTATTTGACGACGAAGCACTTCCGAACATTCCGAGCACTTTTTTTTTTTTTTTTTTTTTTTTTTTTTTTTTTTTTTCACGTAATAAACCAAGCGCGCGTACGTATAATTCACACAGTCGCTGGTCACCGGCTGCACTAAAAATTAGGTGTCCCGAGCTCGTGAGACCCACAACAATTTTTTCGTGGCGGCGCGATCGTCGGCTCTCTGCAGTTGCGGACACATCGAAGCGCGCAACTGACTCGTATTTTGATCATTGGATGCCTTTACCGTTGCTTGCGTTATTGATAGGGTGGGGTTCGATGTATAAAAAGTCGACGATTAATGGAGAGGAGAAAACAATACGTGCGAGCCTCCGTGCGTGTGTGATTGGCTGAGCTTGTGTGAAAAAAACAAAAAAAAAACATTGATGATTAAGTGATTCGGATAACGAGCCAGATTATTGGGTGAAAAATTGTGTGCTTATGTTTAAACAGTCCATTTGGTAGGTTTATAAGAGCCGAATGGAGTATCTGTTTTGTTGTATTTTTAAAATTATTTTCAAACGACAACGCAACGTTATTTTTAGTTTTTTAATTAGTATACTCTATGATGATGAAAAAAAGCAAAATTCCAGAGTAGTGTATTCGATGGAATCATCAGAAAGATCATAAAACGTGATTCCCGATAATAAGCAGTTGCTCCACGCATCGCTGCAATCTTATTTGAAATTCTCGTTGAAAATAAGAAGGAGAGAAAGCGCGTATGAGCTGTTTGGGTGTCAAAATAGTAGCGGGCCTCGGACTATTATACTGCTCCACCTTATCAGATCCAATTTGTATTCTTATCTCTACCCACCGTTTCCTTCGGCAGGCGAGTTAATTTATCTTTGAATGGTAACAACAATCTTATCTGCGCGACTGCAGGCACCGACCGAAAATATAAATATAGAGTGGGATGAAAAAAAAAAAAAAAGAGAGAAATAAATAATAAATGGCAGCTGCTGGAGTTGCGACTCTACGACGAGACGAGCTGATTGAACTTGATGGAAAGGAGCCAGGGAGCTTCGTTAGCACCGATGACGAGTGGCAAACGTCTTTTTTTTTCGTCTCGCCCGCGATGACAATGCAGAGCCTCCGGAAAAAAGAGACGCGTATAGAGCGATGATTGCTCGATTCGCTACACGAATGTGGAGGCATCATTGGCGCGCGTTGATTTTTCGGAAGAGTCGAGAGGAGAGGGAAACACGCATTCGAGTGCTAAGTGGCTGGCTTCGATTGGGCGTGAGACGAACGACTGGACAAACAAATTGGCATCACTTGCGCACAAATTAGTTATCAATGAACACGCAGATGAGACGTTCTTTTTTTTTTTTTCATTTCTTCGTATACATTGAAAATAATCCACGAAAGCTCATTCCACCCACGACGAATTCAATTATCCGAGTGATTGTGATTTTTATGTGGCAGGTGGCTTAACCCCGCTGCCTCGTTAGAGTCGCGTGTACCGTTGCCCATCGCTGCATTAACCGCGAAAATGAACAAAAAAAAAAACAGTATAGCCGTCGAGCCGGGGGCGAAAAACAAATCGGATACTTTTCGCGGGCACTCGAGCTTTGCACAATGCGAGGATGAGCAGGTGTTGGGCTCGCAAAGAGGAAGGAAAAAAAGACTTTCTCGGACCTCCTACAAACAATGGCCCGCATCTTCTTCCTGCTTCGCCCCCTTCGGTGCACTTCTTCATCTTTCTCCCCCCTTCTCTCTCGTATACTCATAACGCACGCTCCATCTCTCGCAGCCACCCACGAATCTAGTGCACACCAGCACTGGGAGCCTTGTTTATCTATACATACCCCGTCCCGAGCTTTCGCTCTTTCTCTTTCGTTGTGTCGATGTTAATCCACGCGCACTCGGAGTTTTGGCTCTCTCTTTTCCCGGAGATAAGAGGAAAACTGGGCCACGCGGATGGGATGTACATTGTTCGCCGTTGGCCCTATTCCGCGGCTGATGAGTACATGGCAACTGTGGCGTGACTCCTTCGATCTTCGGTCGGGGAGAAAAATAAGAAAAGGTGCATACATTGCCTCACGGAGTATAGGGCCATTGTTTGGACGAAAATATAACTTGTTGCGAGCAAAGTTATATTTCGGTCCCCCTTGACGCAGGTATATTATCCTCGAGTGAAACGTAATCAAAAAAATAATTACGCAATCGGGCGTACGAAAACACGAATCCTCGGCATATATATTATCAGCTAAGCCCTTTGGCGACCGAAATTTCGCCGCTGTCACGCAGCCAATTAACCAAGCGGAGCTCCATACACATTGACGTACACGCGGGCTCACGTGGCAATCAACAAGCGACTACGTGGTGCAAAAATCGACTTTACCGCGACGCGTATTTATATATACTATACACAAGGGAACACGCATGATAGTGACGAGTCGTCGTCGAAGGGTTGTATATGTGCCGTGAATGCACCTTCGTTAGGTCTCCCTCGTCTTTCGGCCCAGTCACGATGAAGAGCCGTTGCCAAAGCCACACAACGCCGGACTTGGGATTCAGGATTAATGAAGCCCCGAATAATAGTAGGTGACGGGGTGCACCTACCTGTACCTCACACACATATGTATACACATACGCATACCTCGTATTATACATTATGAATAGGAGGGCGCGATACATTTCGCGAGCTCGTCCACGTTATCGCCGTGTCACGCTTTCGGGGAACTTTGAGGCGAAATTTTTTTCAATGCATATATGTATATATATATATATTCAATTTCAAGAAGAAAAAGCCCTCCACACCCCGTACTCTCTTTCGGGGACGTGCCGTTACGAAATTAATGAGATGCGCTCGGGGAGAAGTTTCTCGATTCCGCGCGCCCCTTCAACTTCCGTCCCGCTTGTAATACACTATACACAGGCAGAGAGAGAGAGAGAGAGTATAGGTATTTGTGTGTACGTGCGAGGGCACATCCTCCAATTTTAATTATCAATCCTCATAATCTGGAGCCCCGACACGGCGACATACATATAATGTACACACAGAAAGAGAGAGAGAGAATATAAGCACACGTAACACACTGCACCAGAGAGCCACCACCTACACGTTCCATTTCCAGCTTTGTCGAGCACTGCACGCGGAGATCGTCTCCTCCTCGCTCGCGCGCGTGTGCAGTCGTCATTGCGTACAGCGGTACACAGCAGCGACGAGGAGGACGATAACGAGGACATCTTGTAGCCAAGGACTAACAAGACGCGAGTGTCGCGCAGCTTCTCTCTTGCCTGCATGTATACCTTATACATATATATACGTACAGTGTAGTGGAGCAAGTACAGCGGCAACCGAGCGCTATCGCGATGTGCAAGGGTGTACAACGACAACGACGCGTTGCATCATAAATGCAAGTAGTCTGTACACCCACGGCTGCTATCCTAGTACTATGTATATATATATACGTGCTGTACAGCACTCCTGCTTTCATATAACAAATGTGCTTAGTTAGCGTCGCATGGTGGGCCCTCCCTTACTAACGTTGGGCTTTTGCTGTTACTTCTGTGTGTATAACGTACATATACGTATATGTATATGTGTATTACGCGAAGGAAGGGAGGGAGGAGAGGATAGATAGTCGGGGGGCACGGCACGACGAGGATGAGGAGTCGCGATTATTATAATGAGGCGCGAATTCTGTCGAGATGAGGCTTCAACTCGCTTCGTGCGCGTCTATTTGTTGTAGCTTTTTGGTCTCATTTTTTTTTTTTTTTTTTTTTTTTTTTTTTTTTTTTTTTTTTTTTCATCTCCCAGCTACTGGTTCATCAAAACTGACGCTTGTACAGCCGAGGGATGCGTGTCTCCGATGGGGCCGAAGATACAAGAGGTTTCGCGTTTAAAACGTCGCTCGAGCGATAATAGCGGAGTGACGGAGATACACAGACCCCTTCGGAGAAAGTCCTCGAGTACCCGTTCATTGGCAATGAAAGCGAACAACAAAATAAACGGGTAAAATTCTGCCCTTCTTTTGTAAAAAATGATAAATCTCGTGGTCCTCCGGAGGTATGAATATGTATCTCTCGAGGCGGTGCACGTCCTCGCGTCTTCGTGGCCGAGGAAGCGACGAATAAACGAGGGACATGAGAGAGAGAGAGAGTGGGTCCGATTCCCGTCGTCGATACACACGACACTCAGCTGATGGTCCTCGCGTGTATACACCTACACACGTGTGCAGTACATGACGACGAAAGACGAGAGTGATTTCCGATAGTGGAAAGGAGAGTATACGTGACACATGTATATATAAATATGCGCATTACAACCGAGAGGGGCACCTCGAGGGCGTCGTCGTGCATTGTTACACTGACAAGTCCGATTCGACCGTTCTTTATAGCTTTTTTTTTTTTTTTCTTTCATTTTCGCTTCCACTGTAACTATATAGGTGTATGTGTTTGTCGTCACAAAGCGCATCGGGTTTATGTGCGTTGTGTACGAAAAAATACGCGGCTTGGAGATTATTTTCTTAGATGTGGTTTCGAAGGTAGTATTATAGCGTTTCCATTTGGTCGACTTTGACTATCCACACGGTTGTAGTCGGGTTTACTGCAATCAACGGTACTTGAAATATTGACGTAGCGTGACAAGTGTAACGAGGACACGAAAAATCACGTTCCAATTTGAAAATCCATTAGGGTGTATACTATTTTTCGATCCCATGTATTAATATACCCAAGTCCAAGAACACGGTAACGCGTAGAGCCGGTCACATAACATATGTACGAAAGAAGGGCGCGTCGCGTATCGTCTCCCTGACGAGTGATATGATCCGCTTAATACACGCCGCGGGCTGCAGGAGCATCAGCCGGACTAAGCCGAGCATTAAACTCCTCTACGTCCCTCGTTTGCTCGTGAAGCCCGTCGATGCCCCTCCCCCCGCGTCCACCTCATGATATTTTAATACGCTAATGCCCGTGCCATTCATATGCGTGTCTCTTCTCTCTTTCTTTCCCCGACGGATTTGGCTTTTTTACTTTTTCCCGGAGATCGGTAGACGAGACGTTATAATACAGGTGCGCGGGGATTAATCG